TTATTGCTAGAAATAGTGTATGCAAGGTCACAAATGTTTCCTTAAATAGCTCAAGCATTAATATTATTTATATCAAATCATTTCCAAATCTGAGAAACCTAAAAAATGCAAACCTAATCAAGGAAATGACATGAGAAAGCCCTACTGAGCTGTTTCTCTAAGCATAACCTTGACAGACACTGTGGATGCATGCTGAATGCAAAGCCAAAAGTTAATATTACTGTACTGCACTTTGGACAGACTAGAATTCATGCCTGTCCTGCTCTAAGAAGAGCAACTGGAGTATTATTTGAAAGACCAAGAATCTTCATGAAAAATTAGTTTTGAATCACTTCCAATCCCATGGGCTCATTCCAGCCCCATATTTTCATACAGAACAAATTTGAATGCATACCTTGTCTATTCCAGGCCAGTTTCTCTGCTGCACAGATATCCCCTGCAGCCAGTGACAGTGTAGTGACATTTGACCTTCTGTTTTCTGTTAGACTAAGTTTACGGTTAGACTAAGTTTACCCCAAAAATCTTTTCCGATGCCTAGTGTGACAATACTGAAGTTTGTGGGTTGTGCACTCTGAGCTGTTCTCAGCCTCCAAAACTTCAGCAACCATCCCTTTGATCCTTCATACAACCAGTGAGCTAGTTAATTGGGATCAGGTCAGTGCCAATTGACATAATTCATTTTACAAGCCAGCAGCCATGTGTTATCCTCACACTAAACACTCTAACAGTCTGTGATTATTGCCTAGAGATGTTTAATGGAGTGAAGAGTAGGTGGTAAGGGCCTGTTGGAGATTAGGCTTTTATTGACAGATCATCCCTGATCAGCTGTCCTTGCCAAAATGACTTTAATTCACACCATTAAGTCAGCCATGCTTTTATTATTTTTAAAGCCAGGTCTTGAACCTCAAATGGTTAGAATTTTGTGGCAAATGAGAGGTTGATAGAGCTGGGGGGAAATTTTCATCCTCAACACTTTTTGATGAAGAATGCATTTTAAGCAACCTCAAAATGTTTTGCAAATTTGTGTCAGTTTCACCAAATTGATTGTTTAAAAAAATTGAAATGTTTTGATTTTTTTGTGCTTTGAAATGACTTTTTGTTTTTAAATTTCCTTTCATTTTATTTTTTTAAATGCAAACACTTCACAAATTGGTCAAATTGAAACAAAATGTTTTAATGTTGTTGAAATAAAACGTTTTGTTTGACCCAACACAAATGTTTTAGGGACTTTTCAAAATTGCCAAGGAACTGACAAATCCATTATTTACCCAGCTTAGGAGGTTAAACCTATGTTGGTGCCACTTCCACTAACCTTTTGGAGACTGGGGACATAACTAAAGCCTTGTGAGTCTTGGCTAGTACAGTCGTTCTCAAATTTGTTTGATTGTGTCCCCCTTCTTTGTGTCTGTCGTCGTTTATGCCCCTTCCTCCCCCCGCTACACAAGTACATATAGCATTGTCCCGCTCTGAAGGCAGAGCCCAGAACAACGGCTGCTGGCCAGGTGCAGAACCAAAGGTGGCAATGTGAAAAGTGGCATTTGTCAATATCACTTTTCACAGCAGACTCAATGCCCCATTGCCACCTTTGCTTCTGGGCTGAGAACCGAAACCCTGCCACCACTTCCAGGTGAGAGACTGGGAGAGGGGAGGAAGGAGAGCCTCAGCCCAGGCTGCCTCCAGGTAAAGGATTGGGAGGGGGGAAGACAGCCCAAACTCAGGTAGCAGGGCTCCAACTGTTCCCTTTATCCTCTCCCTCCACCTCCTGGGTGTGCATGGCCCTTCTCCCCAAGCCCCAGCCACTGGGGGCTGACAGCTGGAGCTCTTTTTAAAAAAGGCACACAGCTCATGCCTCCCTTGACACATTTCCGCGCCTCCATAGTTTGAGAACCGCTGGGCTAGTAGGTTGGGAATTATAGGCATCTTAGGCTTAATATGCTTTCCATTCAAACTAGTAATATTTCCCATAAAAATTGCACTGGCAGTGGAATTTGGGGGGGGAAAGGAGCAGAGTTGGCTTTCGCTAGTGGAAGGGATTGAATAGTCCTGTAAGTCTAGGCAATGAAGTGATGTACATTATTGCAATTCTTTGTCATGCAACAACTAATTCAAGACCAGTCCCGGACCTTCTTTGTTCCAATAGGGTCGTTAAGTTTTACAGAGGCTGGTGTTTTTCACAGATGAGTGCTTGCTCACGGGGTGCAGGGACGCTAAACCAGGGGTCATTGATCAACTCATGTGCTTCCATGTTTGGTTTTTTTTAAGATTATAAAAGACAAATTGTTCTCAGATGTCTTGTTTGTTGGCCTTCTTGTGCACGGTCAAAGGGAATCACAGCTCAGCAGCAGCTGGCATTAATTCCACTATTAATTCTACAAGGAGCCCCAGTGGGAAGAGTGCTTAGCTTAATGTAAATGCCTGGTACAGCTTGTGGAGGACAGACTGCTCTGACCCAAGTTCACAGTTGGAATTTACACCTGACGTAACTGGAACGTGGCACCATTTACAATGGAGAATGAAGTACAGCATTCCCTTGCCTGAACCTGCATGGAAATGTTGGCCTCCCTGTTGGCTTCTGGAAATTAATTTGCTGTTTATAGAATTTAGAAAGAGTGGTCCAATCCAAACTGGGAAGTCATAGTACAGACAGGATTCAGGGAGGGGTCCGCACACAGCTGCTACATAGCCTGGCACAGTGGTATTCTTCCCTGCACACACTGCACCTCAGTCAAGTCGCTACTCCTATCTCAGCCTGAGACGGTGAGCAATTTTGAGTCCCTGCAGGAAAACTAACTGACACAGGGAAGGTAGCTAAATGGGGATTTTGTGTATGCAAGACAACACACATTAAGCTCCAAGTTTCATTTCTGGAAATCAGCAGAATCTCAGTTCAGGACCTGGGAGATTGGCAGGAGAGCTGGAGTGGCGGATAAATGCACTACCAGCTAGTTTTAATGGTGTAAGGATGACATCTAGTGGCCACTTTAAAGAATCACATGATTCCATTCTTGTAGCTTCTCCAATCCAGGGGAACGCAAAATTTCTCTAACAAAATGTCACATTGGCATCTTGCCAGTATCTTGAGGGCAGTATCTAATTTGCCTGAAATGGAATAAACTGAAACCAGTCTCATTTTTTATATATATATGTCCCAACATGCAATTCTCCCTCTTTACCTAAGCAGCTAACACAAAGGTGACAAGTATCAACGTGAAATACTTTACCTTGATCTGAGCAACCCAAGCAGAGGTTACATGCCCTGGAATGCAGTTCTCTTGCTTTCTGAGTGGCAAACACAGAGATGAAAGAAGCAGCATTGAATGCTGCCACATGTGGTTTAGGTTGGAATCTCCATATTACAGTAAGAGTGGCCTTGAGCCATATTGGAAAATCCGTGGGCCAGATATGGCCAGACTGCATTTTGGCCATCCCAGTCATGTTCATAATGTCTCAAGCATCCTAGGTATCAATCCAATCAGAAATATCAAAAGTCCAACATTTAATTTTGTTCTTGGCCAAAGAATTAATAATTCAACCTGTTGATAGGAGAAGCAAAATGTCAGTAGATTGGAGCCTTCTCCCTTGATCCAGAAGCTTTTTGATTCAGTCACCGCAGTTCACGGCACTGATTGTGTTGCTGTATTTCATTCCACAGTTCATGCTCTGAAAGGGACGAGTGGTATAGCTGCATCAGCAGAACCATTCCAGATGACTACAAAGCTCACAATGCATCTACCTTTCACAACAGTATTGAGGTATGAATGAGTCTTGGCTAAGAGGATGCAAAGCCATCTAAAGAGTTAAAAAAAGGAAAGGGAAAAAGTTCCTTATGGCAGAGTACTCTGATTATTTTTATATAAATCACCATGCTAGGGCTAAATGACAAAGGTCACCACAGCACTTGTGTTTAATATTCAGCCTGCTGTGACCGCTACTGGAATGTTAAACATGTTGCAATTCCAATTCATACTGTGGGTTTCATTTAGGTCAATGGGAGTTTTGCTGGAGTAACACTAACCAGATTTAGCCCTGTATGGCTACCATCCTAGATGCTATCAAAAAATAAGTGTATGCCTTGCAAGTGACTGTAAGAAAGCAATACTAGCCATCAGTAATGCTTTTGTCACAATTATATCACAAAGGATCATTAACTCACCACCACTAACGCCCTCAGCAAAAGGACCTGATTGAGACCTAACAATCAGTTTATACTGGTGCAACTCCATTGACTTCAATAGAGTTATTCCTGTCTATACCAGCATGAGAGGAGAATCAGATCCAAAAGAGTTTTGCTAAGGCTGAATTCTCTTTTCCTTCTTCCTGCATGAGTCTAAGTCTCTCCATACCAAACCTGCCTGGGTGGGGTAACTGACTTGTGCAAATATGAGTAAACAGCAAAGGAGTTTGAGTGCCGAACGGTGATAAAAAATGTGGGCCAGATTTGGATCCCATTCATTCAGAGTAACTCCACTGTCTTCCGTGGAGAACTGGGTCCAAATCATGGTCTGAGTTACAAGTGAAAGGAGTTTGGTGACTTCTAAACAGTCCCTTCCACTGGTCATAAAACCATCCCAAAAGATAGTGGCCCGCACAATAGTCAACGTAGCCTTCTTCATTCTGAGGTTGATATATTGAGTGCCAGGCAGCTTATGGTGGGGATGAGGGATTTTTTGATTGAGACCTAAAAACCATCTGCTCTTCCTGGATATTAAACTGTCCATGAGTCTTGTAATAAGAATATGAGTGTACCTAGGTGGTCTCAGCCAAAATTGCACATAGATGCTAGATGCTCAACTAGTGTAAACCAGTACAGCTCCATTGACTTCAGTGGGTCTGAACCAATTTACACCAGCTGCAGATGGGGGCTGTACTGTTATATCATATGCTGTGTACTAGTTGCAATCAGGGCCGGCTCTGGCTTTTTTGCCGCCCCAGCAAAAAAGCCTCCTGCCACCCCCGGCGGGGAGCGCAGCAGGGGAGGGTGCCGAGCCTGGCCGCGGGCCTGCTCTCCCTGACCGGCCGGAGTGCCGGGGGGAGGGCGGCGAGCCTGCCGCGGCTCCACTCTCCCCGACTGGCCAGAGCGCAAGAGGGAGGGCGGCGAGCCCGGCCGGGGCTCCGCTCTCCCCGGTGGCCAGAGCGCCGGGGGGAGGGCGGCAAGCCCTGCACGGCTCCGCTCTCCCTGACGGCCAGAGCGCTGGGGGGAGGGCGGCGAGCCTGGCCGGGGCTCCGCTCTCCCCGGCGGCCAGAGCGCCGGGGGGAGGACGGCGAGCCCAGTCACGGCCCCGCTCTCGGGCCGGAACGCCGCGCCGCCCCCCTCCAGGTGCCGCCCCAAGCACATGCTTGGTGGGCTGGTGCCTGGAGCCGGCCCTGGTTGCGATCACCTTCCATCCCAGAATTGGCTGCATCTCAGTGCTGCTGTGTGTAGAATTTATGGAACACTTTGGGATCCTTCAGAATGAAAGAGGAGCCCAGGCCTGGACTAACAGGGATTGTGTGCCAAGAATGAGGTGAATTGGCAGAAATGGGGGTGGGGAAAGGCAAGAGCAGTTCAGCAGATGTTGCTGCAGGGAAGGTGGGAGTTGCATTAGCAGAACTGGGTGTGCTTTGAAAGTCTGGGTATTTCTTCACTTTTTGTTTTAAGCTAAGGGAAAGACTGGGAATATCCTTGGGTGAGAGGCCTCCAACCTTGGTACCTGTGTCCCACGTCATGATGTGTATGAACTGCGGCTCTGATTTTACCCTCACTCTGAGACGCCATCATTGCCATGCATGTGGGAAGGTAAGTGTCACATAAATTCAGCTTCACTCAGACTCATCAACAGTAGGGAAAGCCTCTGGGACAAGTTCCCCTCTTCATTACACTAGCTGCAACTGCACTGACTTCAGCACAGTTGCACCTGCATACAGAGAAGATAATCTGACTCCTCACAAAGACTGCCAGTAGAGCTTTGCAAATGAGAATTAAGCATTCAGATTGTTAGTGACTTTGCTTGGAACAATATTAAGATTCTGCTGAGTGGCAAACTAATTCCTAAAGACTGGGTACTCAACCAAATGAAAGGGTCATGGGACATACATTGCTGAGCAGAGCTTTCAAATGGGACATGCCGGTAGCACTGGGGCAATGCAGCAATCAGACTACCAGTTTTCCAGTTGATGAGTTACATTTTAGATAGGGAAATCTCCAAAGCTTTGGGAATGTAGATGCACAAAGCTCCTAGTCTCTATGGCCATTGTTCTTAAATCACTTCACAAGTGAGTGATGCATAAGAATTGCCAGACTGGATCAGACCAGTGGTCCATCTAAGCCAGTATCCCGTCTCTGACAGTGGCCAGCACCAGCTACTTCAGAGGAAAGTACAAGAAACTCTGCAGTGGCTCTTATTTGATAATCTGCCCCCAGAGATCATTTCCTCCTAACCCCCATTAGTTAGTGGTTGGTTGATAGCCTGAAATATGCGGGTTTATATCCCTTTCAGTGTTCTTGGTTCTTGTGTCAATTCTTTCTGTTATAATTCCGGATAGCCACATAGAGCCTCCAGTCCTATTCTGAATCCAGTTTAGCTCTTAGCCTCAGTGATGGTTTCTGGCATTGAGCTTCACAGGCTACTTATGCCTTGTGTGAAAAAGCATTTCTTTTTATCAGTTTTAAATTTGCCACCTTTCAATTTCAGTGAATGTTCCACTATGTCAGTTTTAATCTGGATTTTAATTTTAAATTCCTGTCCCATTAAAAGTCTAATCCTAGTTCAATGATACTTCAGTTTCACAAACAAAATACTTCTCTGCCTCTGCCAGCAGAGTGGTAGTATGACATGCCAATCCACTTCTGAAAATGATACTATTAACAGCATGATCAACTCCAGTTTAATGGTACTATGGCATTAATTTTTATATCAGGGAATGTATAATCCCCATGGAGACAACCATAAGGCTATTGTATAATTATGCTTATTAATTTTTATATTATTATAGCAGCTAGGACACCCAGTCATGGACTAGGTCCCCATTGTGCTAAGCGCCGTGTAAACATAGAACAAAAAGACAGTCCCTGTCCCAAAGAACTTACACTCTAAGTATAAGACAAGGCACAACAGATGAATACTGACAAACCGGCAGGGGGTATATATTGGTCAGCATGATAGACAGTGGTCTTGCCACACCAGCACCCTAACCATTGTCAAGTTTTTTGTAGACATCATGCTAAAGGAGAATTTTAAGGTGAGAACTGAAGGAGAACAATGAAGTGGCAATTAAATGTATTGCACTAAATTTTGCTCTGAGTTACGACAGAAATCTAGAGTAATTACGATTAAGTCAGGGGAGTAATCCTTATTTATACTGGTCTAGCCAAGAGCCAAATTTGGCCCATTCTGCCTCTTCCCCTGCCAACCAGCCCAGAGAATCTGTTTGGTAATGTACACTGGTATGGTGAAATGTGTATATATATACATAGCTGTTCTTTCTGTGGCAGATTGTATGTCGAAATTGTTCAAGAAATAAGCATCCCCTGACGTACCTCAAAGACCGACTAGCAAAAGTCTGTGACGGCTGCTACTCAGAACTAAGAAAAAGAGGTGAGTCCTCTTCATTCCTCGGTGAGTTGAATGAAAATGCTACCTGCATATGAAGAGAGAAGGTTCTGCTTCATGACAGGGAATTTCTCCTTCAGACATAGACGTGAGCTATATTAAGAGTGATACAAATGCAAGCTCTGGGGAAATAGCAGGCTGCATGGTGGCTGAGACGCTTTTAGTGATCTGGAACCTCAAATTCTTCCTGTGAATTCTTGATGCGCTAGAATAATAAGCAATAATACATGGTACTATCTTGCTGTTTACAGCTAACAGCGCTTCCCTGTAATTTCCAGTGAAGTGCTAATGAAAGCAAAGCATTGGCTTAAAAATAAAGACGCTATCGACAACTATCTGCCTCAGTGCAAGGAGTTAGCCCTGCACAATGGGAAATGCTAAGGTCAACTGTATGGACAACTTATAGGCAAGAGCTTTTTTGTTAAGGGCTTAGGTACTAGGGACAGGTGCAATTTAGTTTTTTCTTCTTGGTTAAAGAGATCCACACATCAGTTTTAACAGCATAGCAGACATGCACTGTTATTGCTTAGTGGAGGAAGACGTGCACTGACTCTGTCAGAGTGGTCTGAGCCACGTGACAACTCAAGGCTGTACTGACTCAGGGCTGTGCTCCATTCAGATTTTCCAGGTGACATGTATTGACAAAGGTGAGACTCAGAAGGATTGTAAATCAGGTGATGGCACTGATTGATACAATAGTGTGTCTGTTGATAGGGTATGTCCCGGAGATGGAATAAATTGTCACCTGTCCTCAGAACACAGCGGAGAGACATTCAGGCTTGAAAGAACATCGCCAAAATGAAGCTATTGGTGGCCCAGGAAGCAATCAGAATAAGTAGAGTGCACAGATGGCAGAGACACATGGTCAATGCTCTTGAAAGGTCATTAAGTGTGAGAACACAACATAACACAATTATTTTCCTGGTCATCTTCCATACAAGCTGTACGTATTTGTAGGGGATGCTTCCACCATGCAATGCCATAAAGTTCATTGAACAGTAATTCTGCTAACCAGACTTAACCTGGGAGTTTGATAGAAAATAGCTAAAGGAAGATTAAGCAACTATAGGTTAGGCATTGCATTTTCTTATCCCTATTTGCAGTGTTTCCCAAACTTGGGACGCCGCTTGTGTAGGGAAAGCCCCTGGCGGGCTGGGCCGGTTTGTTTACCTGCTGCGTCTGCAGGTCCGTTCGATCGCGGCTCCCACTGGTCGCGGATCGCTGCTCCAGGCCAATGGGAGCTGCTGGAAGTGGCGGCCAGTACGTCCCTTGGCCTGTGCTGCTTCCAGCAGGTCCCATTGGCCTGGAGCAGCGAACCACGGCCACTGGGAGCCGCAATCGGCCGGACCTGCGGACGCGGCAGGTAAACAAACCGGCCCGGCCCGCCAGGGGCTTTCCCTACACAAGCAGCGTCCCAAGTTTGGGAAACACTGCCTATTTGCATTAGCCTGGAGTTTAACACCTACTGTTGTAGACTTAACCTAAGAGTTTGCACCAGTTAATCCATTCTTTCCCACTTCCTATTTCTCCTAATATTGTAGAGCGGCCAGTAAGTGTGAGCTTCCCTCCAACTTCATCCAGGTTTTCAGGCAGTGCCTTCTCTTCCGTCTTCCACAATATTCACTACTCATCCTTCAAGAAACAAAAGAAGATCCCTTCTGCTCTTATGGAGGTAGGACCAACGCTGCCTGAGAAAAGGCAAGGAAACTAGCCTGAGAGGACTGTGTGTTGACACTACAGTAGCTTTCAATCTCATTGTTTATAATTTGTTCTATGTGCTGCAGGATCAGCCCACTGTCTAGATCCTCTGTATCATGAGATTACATTTTACGCAGTGTAATAGGGCAAAATACAAAACACTTCAAGATCGGATGCTATCACTATAGTTTCTGCATCCTCTTAAGACCAAGTCAGCTGAGCATTTAACCTTTATTTTCCCAATAATTTAAATTAAATCTTAACATCTACATCAACCCCAGAAGCTTTTTAAAGGTGTAATAACAAGCTCAGGGGAAGCATCAGAATGATGGGTTACAGAAGTCACTAGTCTGAATACAGGAATTTAGTATTGACCAGAAGTCACTGCCAGCCAGCAGTTGTTCTATGGCCTCACTACAATCCTTATTTCCAATGTGGCCCCATGGATTTCAATCGAACTAACTACGTTTGAATCCAGTCAGTGTGAGTTGTGGGCGGGGGAAGTAAAAGCTAGCCCTTTCAAAGCAATTGGTGAATGCAACTGTTTAATTGTGTTCCCTGTAGCTCTCCCTTGCCTATCTGAAATAAATGGATGAAATCCTGACCCTACTGAAGTCAATGGGAAAGCTCCCATTAACTTCAGTGGGACCCTGATTTCACCCAAATATATTGTTTTCCCTTCCCTTAATATCCTCTGACTATCCATGCTGTCTACCCACCTAAACATGTAGGGCCCTATCCTGGGAATTTAACTTCAGTTAACTGATTTCAGTGAGATCATGATCTGGACCTTGTGCTGTTCATGTAGTTACCTTCCATGAAAGGAAGGTACTCTCACAGGATTCTCTTAACTTTGTTTGTGATGAACTGAAACACAGATAAATATACAAACACAGTATGTAAAACATTCATGGAAGATACTGCATAAACCAACATGACTATCAGGGTTAACCAAGTTAGAGAAGTAACATTTCAGCTCCATTTATTTATGGAAAAATAGAGATTGCCTCTTTCACCACAAGGTGGCAGCACACATTTATTAAAATGAAGCTTTCTATAACAATCTTGATCCCAAAGCCATTCCCAGTTGACTTACACGGGGTCTGGTGGACTTTCTCATGCGCCAACCTGCTACAGAACAATATTATAAATACAGTTAATTCCTCTATTGTGTCTTTGTTATCAAAGGCTGATTTTCAAGTCCCTTCCCCCAGTTGACTCTTTGCTTTTATTCAGATATCAGCATTATTATTATAATTAATCATGTATACTATGTTGCAGTTCTATAGCACCTTTCACCCACAGATCTCAAAAATCTTTACAAACACTAATGAATTAAGCTTCAACACTTCTTCTCTCCCTCCAGGGCGGCAAATATTTAATAATACTGAGGAAAGGAGCATTCACAGATGAAACTGAGTCATAGAGAGGTGGCCCACCCAAGTGCACACCACAAATCCATTGTCAAGCCAACAGAACCCATATCCCTTCTGCTTTAGCCATAACACTATTCTTCCCCTCTTGAAACATGCACCCTTGAATATATAAAAACAAGGCAAGAAAAAGGGGACAAATTCAATTTCTCAACGGCACCAGTATAAATCAAATGGCTTCAATGACTTGGCTTCCAGAATAACTTAATTGGCTTCTTTGGTGTCAGTGAGAACAATATTTGGCCTAAGATAAATACTGCAATGCTCTTATGCAGAATAGCATTCTTGTGTTTACATTACTCTCAGATTTATGCTATCTCACTGTTTTTGATTCACTCCTTGATTATATTAAGGAAACAGGAATATCTGTGTAGTGTTTTTTTTAAAATGGGCCTTGTTTATGGCATGCTTGCTGCTTTGGAGGGGGAAAAGCATTTGATGTCATGGATCCCTTGATTATCCCCTATACAGGTGGCAGCTTCAGGAGAGGGCTCTTCTATCAGTGGCTATCTCAGCAGGTGTAAGAGAGGCAAAAGGCACTGGAAGAAGCTCTGGTTTGTTATCAAAGGCAAAGTCCTCTACACCTACACGGCAAGTGAGGTACTGCCTGTCCTGACGTGACAGAATTTCCCAGTCCTGTTGTCACGTTTGTTTTCCCACTCCTTACATGTGAGAAATGTAATTTGAGGGATGTACCTACTAGTTCTTGTGTAGTCGTTCTTTTTGGAAATAGCTTGTGTTGTTGCAGTGGCATATCACCTCAATATGTTATGGTGCCCCAGGCCTGGAATCCCAGCCCCACCCCTGGATGGCCTGCTTTCCAAATTCCTTAGCCTCAGTACATTTGTTGCATTTCATGCGGATTATAAATGCACAGTTACAAGAGGCCTGGTTTAATCTGCCAGGAAACTATTACAGATCAAAATATGACAGGTTTCAGAGTGGTAGCTGTGTTAGTCTGCATCAGCAAAAAGAACGAGGAGTCCTTGTGGCACCTTAGAGATTAACAAAAAAAAGCTTATGCCCAAATAAATTTGTTAGTCTCTGAGGTGCCACAAGTACTCCTATATCAAAATATAAAGACTTAAAATCCTCTTTGACTTTTCTCTGGTGCGGTACCTATATGGTGTGAGTTAGTAGCTGAGAACTGACTGTTACATAAATAAGAGTTCTTTCTAAAGAAGGGAAGTCCCAAACTTTGCCCAATCATAGTTCAAAATGGCAGCTTTCCAGGAACTAGAGGACTGCCCCGATTTCACCGGGGTAGACTGGATATGCCCATGGGATAGATTGCAGCTATGAACTTCAATATGGAGGTGCAGCTGGTGAAGACTAGAGGGGGAATCACGTCATGCTCCATATGATCTGAGCAGCCTCTGCATGCCCCTCCTCCCTGTGAAAAGGAAGGGTGGCCACCAGCTGCACCACCATTGTAGAAAAAGAGGATGCCAGGGTGATCTGACTGGTGGGCTTCATAACTGAAGGCCCTGAAACAGAGCCACTTTTGTGGAATGAAAGGCACAGAATTCAGACCACCAAACAACTGAAATAATACTACTTGGCATTTTAAATCTTCAAAGCAATTTGCAAACATTAACTATTTAAACTTATCATCATACCGGAGAGGAAGGGAAGTATTATCACCACCTATAAATAGATGACGCTGAGACATGAAGAGGTTGCATTACTTGACCAAAGTCACAAACCAAGTCAGGGCAGATCAAGGACTAGAACTATAGTAATGTTGACACCCATTCTTCTGTTTCATCTGTTGGCCTAGATTTCCTCTAGGGTTAAAATAAAACAATTTGAGCCTGATTTTCAGAGCTGCAGGCAACCTATAACTCCCACTGACTTCAGTTGGAGCTGTCTGAGCTTAGCTCATCAGAAAAATCAGGCCTGGAGAACAAAGTCCTGCCTCTCATGGGGTGGACAACTCCACTAAACTTAAAGGGTTGCACGTGGTTTTAGCGATAACCCCTCTTGAGATGTAAAAGAGCAGTGGGTGCCTAACTGCATTGTATGCTTCACCTTGGCTATATCTTAAACAGAGATAAACTAAATTAATCTAAAAAGACAAAGAACAAAACCCCAACATTACCTTAATAGAGGTATAGCGACCAAAACTGCAGCCATCAGTAACAGTTAAACTGCAATTCAATTAAGGCTTATTGTTTTTCTTTATTCCACTTGTACAGTGAACTCTGGCAAGTGAAATTCATGGATGTTTCTTGGGAGTAAATTAACAATGAATTGCATTACCAGCTCATAAATTGTAAAGTGGTGTCATTAGAAGCAAGCATGCTGTGTGAGACAGTGAAAATGAGTCTGTTAAAAAACCGCTGGGGCTGTGGAGGGAGCGGGAACCGGATGCCACCAAACACAGGTGATGCTCAGTGAATAATGGCTTAGGGGACTGGTAATAAATAATAGGATCTTTCATCTCTATACCCTTGATACAAACCTAGCCAAAAGATAATAGTAACCAGATATTGTTCCCATCAGATCTTCAGTGGCCTATAGATTGGTGAACTAAGTCTGATCCACATAAGCCACTAGTCCTAAATTGGAACCTCTTGTTAGTAGTCTAACGAGGGCTGAATGGATATGGAGAATTCCACCTCAGCGGGGGTTCTCTGAGCTCAGGGTTTTGGCAGAGCAATGTATGAGAGATGCTTGCACTGCTGCTGCCAAGGCTGCACCTAGTAACTAGACAACATAATTCTCTAGGATTTTCAATCCAGCACCAGATTATTCATTTTTAATACTATTATTGCAGAAGCTCCTGGAAGCCCTATCAAGTGGGAGTCAGGCACTGTAGATACTGGGAAGACATCCCTTGCCCCAAGTAGACTGCAGCCCATTTTGAAGTGCTCCTTCTAAAGTGTGTTTCCCCCTCCACATTGATTTTAGGATAAAGTCGCCACAGAGAGTCTGCCTTTGCTGGGTTTCACAGTTGCCCCAGAAAAGGAGGAAGGAAGTACGGATGCAGTTTTCCATCTTTACCACAAGCAAACCTTGTTTTATAGCTTCCGCTCGGAGGATAACAATTCAGCACAGAGGTACTGCGCGTGGAATTGCAATTACATACTAATCCGTGAATGAGCATAAAGTGTAAGCAGCACTCTTCACTCTAACATGCCTCTTCCCATTTCCTTTCCTTTTGAATGCACCTCAGCTACAGATAAAACTGAAACATCTTTGGATATGCTAATTAGAGCCAATTATAATACAATTCCCTGGATGGCATTGTGACGTTGTGCAGTCTATATGGTTTTATAAAAACAGAATAAGTGAATATAATGTAACTGGAATTTGCTTCATGCAAAAGGTCTCTTGTAAAGTGTCGTTACAAAGCTTATAATTTACTACGTGTAATTATCCTATTTGTACAAATGTACCACTTGTATTTAAAACTAAAAATATGAAATATAACTCTAAGGGCCTATTGTAATTATGCAAAGTGCGGGCCATTAATGGTTGGGAATCTTAATGCCTCCCATTGTCTGCAGATGGCTGTATTTACCTGTGAGTCTTCCTATATGTGTGTGTGCTGGCAAGTGGGTAATGAAGTCTTGCAGTGACATGTGATCATGTCACCTGAACTGGAATCCATCTTTAACCTGGTGCTTTTCCAGTGGAGGGGGGGGTGGAAACCCAGAGGGACAAAGGGTTCCCACCTTATGCAAAAGATATATAAAGGGGTGAAAAAGAATAGAGAAGAAAAGGAGCCATAATGAAAAATCCCCTAGCTATCACCTGAGCTGGAACAAGAGCTGTACCAGGGGAAAGAATTGTGCCCAG